AGACGAGGAGGGGCTGAGCTGTAGGGCCAGGGAGCGCGTGGCAGTGAATGTGGTTAGGAACATGAAAGGCAGTTTATTCTCACGGTTCGGTCGCTGGCCCACCCTCCAGGCTCTTGGACTGGCCTACCTTGGCATGCAGGCTCTGTGGTTTGTTGGAGAGGATGTCTGCAGCTTCCCTGCAGCGGGTGGAAAGGTTCAGGATGGCAGCAGCTGCTGCTATGTGGGTGTCTTCACTACATTGACCATAGCTATAAGAGCTGGCACGGCAAGGGCTCTGTGTGTGGGCGCCTGCACTAGGCAGTCGATTAGGAAATTTCCCTGGATTTGAAAAATGCTTCGCTGTTGAAAAGAGATTTGATTAGCAATTGCAAGTACGTGGTTTTAGTCATTAAATTGATTTGTTTTAAAGATATAACTTCTTACATTAAAATATGTGAAGACTAAATTAAAACATCATCCATTATCCATTGGTATGTTAAATGAAGGTTATTCAGACTGGTTTTCATAGAAGTTCACAGATCAAATGATGTGATTGCTGGGAAAGAATGCCTAGTCTCTTAATTTTTTTTTTTTTTGTATTTATACTTCTTATAACAAAAACTCCATAACTAATGTTATGGGGCAGGTGCACTGGCAGCATTTGTGGCAAAAACTGTATATTAAAAACCACACTAACGAAAACACATCAGGGACTATAGGGGCTTCAGGCTTGTATATTTACAAACTATGTATGCATGAGGACCAGTAATTCCAGCAGAGAAAAAAAATATATCCTTTCGATACTTATTTTTACAATAACAAGTTATATTTAAACATGAACTGCATTTTTATTGATACACAGATTTGTTTTGTACTTAAACCAGTAGTTGTTCTTCATCCAACTAGATGAAACTAAATAGATGGCACAGTCTTTAATGAGCTGGCATTTTGCATATTCAGGTAGAGCACGTGGTGAGTAGGGGATAGAGAAAATGTTCTCAAGGTGAGCAGAAAGGCAATTTAGTTATCAAGGCTGAGTTTCTGTTTTGTGCGTCTGTTGTGGACACCAAGGTATTGCTGAGAGAGAGAGAATTAAACATATTTCTCTTCACTCTGGGTGTTTGTAAACATCACTCAAGGTTATTGGTGAAACGCCTAAGATTTAACATGGGATCATATAAAAGCATTTAGTTGTTTATTTAGCTGTAAATATCATTTATTTTAAATATTTGATCATTATTTTTTATAAAACAAACTTTAAAAACATTGCCAGATGTTATTCCTATAATTATAAAAATATGAAAATTTCACTGAATGTTTTGCATTTTTAGACTAATATCCATATTATATGAGAACATAGATTGTTCTTATTAACTAACCTCACCTGAATTAAACATATATGTATATGTGTATATTTTGTGTATATGTAATAAACCTGTATAAAATTATACATAAAATTATATAGATAGAAAGATTAGCTTAGATAGATAGATAGATAGATAGATAGATAGATAGATAGATAGATAGATAGATAGACAGATAGATGATAGATAAATGATAGACAGGTAGAGAGAGGAGATATAAAACATACTGTGTGTATGTGTGTATGTATTCTTTTTTCTCGGAATCTAACAGGTTTTCAGTGGTTATTTAGATAGGCTAGGACCTATTTTTGGCAACAATAGATAAAATATCTTTTGGAATATAATGGGCAAATTCTCGTTTATGGGCAAATTCCTTTTTTATCTACTGCTGGGTTTTTTACTGCATTCTAGTTCTTTGAAAGAGGTGATCAACATCACAGAATGAAACACATATTCTGTGTTCCTAAGAGCACTCAGTCTAGGTAACCAGGTGTGAGCTAAAGGAATTCTGTGTAATTGTAGAATGTTGTATAAAATTCATGGTCTCTGGAGAATGCAAAGTGGGGAATTATTTTGCTTGTTCTCTTATGATTAAGTTATCATAATGCAGAAATCATTCCTGGGATTTTTTCCAAGGTTCACTTTCTCTCCTTGTCATTAAAATATTTAAGGCCTCTTAAAGAAATGTGTTAGTGAAAATACCAAGTTTTATATGTTATACAATCTTTGAGTTATGGAAACATCTTCTATATGAATGTGTTAACATCAGAGTGTTAACACATTTTAAATGTTTCTACATCGATTCTTAAATCTGTGGATAAACATTTTCACAGCCACACATTTTTTCAAAAAAAAATCTAGTATAATCTTGATTCCTAAATTAAGTTTCTTCTTAGACTTTTCACTTTTTCTCCTACATTCAACAAAAATGTTTTTGTTGATTTAAGTAATCTTTTAAGTAGTATTTCAATATTTTGCCTATTAAATTTTCATAATTTCAATATAAATCAAAATTATTATAATAGCTATTACAGTTTTCAGTACATTAATCCCAATCCCAGCCAAATGTGGATTAAATATATTTCTTTAGAATTACTGTATTTAGATTCAACAATGGCACCATACTTGTAAAATAATTAATCCATTAACTGGTCACCATGTTCAGTGTAACTTCATGTAAAATCAGTAACATTGATCAATTTATCATTGTTTTCTTTATTTTATTTCACGGTACAATATATTTTCTCTCCTCGCAGCAATAAGTAGCATATTTGAGTACCCCCCCAACACATACATATACAATATGCATTTTTCTTTTTGAAATAAGTATTAGAATTCAAAGCTTACATTCAGGAAATGGCGGTGGTTTTTGTCCTTGACCTGTTTGTACGAGGGGGCGTTTACCAAAAACTTGGGCATCGAAGCTGGCATAATCAAATGGTACTTTTCCAAATTTCTCTTGTTCTTTTGACGCTGAGGCTCTGGGAGAGGTGATGGTTTGTGATCGGAAATTAAATTCAATTTGTTTTACCAAGCTTGTCCTGAAGTGTTGAAAAGAAATATGATAAAACTATGGGTGAGTGTATTAGCATCAGAATTTAAAGTAGATCAGATGTGTCATGCCTGTAGGTATCCATAGGGAAACTGCGCTTTGGAAAGGAGCTGTGGTCACAGCACGGCAGAGCAGAGTGCTCTGCACCAGGAGTAAGAGATAGGGAGGAGGCGCTTTGGGTTCTGGGTGGCGAAGGGGAGGCTTCATATTGTGGGTCTGAGTAAAAAAGAGATGGGCAATCTTCTATTCATCTTATGTAAATGCCACAAGGAGCAAGTATTTGATGCATGTTAGCACTTTGATCTCCTTAGAGAAAAGTGCCATATAACTATTTTTAGGGCACTGACAAGGTGTGTGCTTTCTGCTTGTTAGGATTGTTGATCAGATTTGCAGTGAAAAGTCATAATTGTAACTAGAGTGGAAAAGTCATTATATTCTGTTTAGAAGAAGCAATGCTGAGCACTGCTGCATTCAGCATAACTGACAGGAAGTTGCCTAACAACCAAAAAGAGCAACGTAAGCACCAGAAATTTGATTCCTCACTTGTGAGTTTCTTTTTAGGCTTTTCACCTTTCTCACCAAATTCAGTCTGAATGTTTTTGCTATTTTAAATAGTATTCAAAAATAGTACTTCAGTATTTTATCTATTAAATTGCTATTATCTCAGTGTGAATCTAAATCACTGGACTATAATAGTCATTACATTTTTCAACAAAATCATCCCAATTGAAGCTAAATATGAATTAAATATTCCTTCAGAATTATTGTATTTGGATTAAACAAGGGCATCATATTTGTGTAGTACCAATTCCAGCCAAGGAGAACACAAATGTTTTTGTGCTTGTGGTCTCATGGCACAAGATATATATATGCGCATATATGTATACACACACATATTAATATGCTTTCTAACAAAGCATGCCCAATTCATCAGAATATCAGTTTTGGAAAGTTTTCTTGGATTTGATAAAAAAATTTCAGCTGAAACATAAAAATATTTGATTAATTGATCTTCTTAGTGTATATATAACTTGGTGAATACCCTTAATATTACCTAAATGTTCTATTCTAAAACAATATTTATTTTTTAAGAAATGAGCAAAATGAAACTTAATGTTATTTTTATATTTAATAAATAACCTACTTAGGGAGAAATGAGAGACTATAGGAATACTAAGAATCTCATTATAAGATTTTTAATTTCTAGTTATTCAGTAATTCATGTTCTTTGCTTGACATATGTTCTTCATTCATGTAATCTGAGTGACAATTTTGACTCTTTTAATTAAATCTATAGATGCACATATTAAGGGAAGTCATATATCAAAAATATTCTCACTATTTTGCATTTCAGTGTCTCAGGAACAACAATGAAGATCTGCTTATCGGTTTTAATGCTAAATCACTTTTCTCACATATATGATTTTTATATTAATAAATGCATAACTTCACATACATTAAGTGGCATCATACATAGTTTATTATTTAGGTATAAGTAAGTTCTTCCAAACTACTATATATTGTGAAACACCTAGGACCAATAAGAGATAACTTATTAATAGTTATCAACTCACGGAATTAATTTTTGGTTAAAAGAAACTCTGTATATGTGGAACAGAAGAATAAATATATAACATCACATAATTTAAGTAAGCGTAGGTGATTTATGATGGCATTTTCCCTGGACAGAAAGCTTAAGTCAATCATAAAGATAAGCTTTTCTGACTAGTGAGATGGGTTTCATTTAGTGACAGAGAATTTTGATTAATAATGTTATCATAAACTTTATTTCTTTTAGACTTAGCCACATTATGTTACCTTTGCATACAGATTAATTTCAAGTGAAACGTCTGGAGAGTCTAAGATGTTTCTGTAAGTGATAGTTTGATCAACTGGACCAGCCTCTCAAGTGGATATTGGTAGCTGAGAACAAAGGTTAGGCCATAGTGAACTGGCACATGAGGGGTGACAGAGCCATTGTGTAGGAGCATGGCACAAATAGAGTATCAGTGACATCAAGGGAAGGTCATACCTGTGAACCTGGTCAAGACCCTGCCCAGTTTGAGGAGAATCGAGCTGATTTTTGTCCTGGGACATTGCCAATTTTTCAGCTGCAGCAATTGGACAACCAGAGAGACTGTTAAAAAAAAAAAAAAGGTAAGAGGATTTGAGTTTAAAAGATAATGTAATTTGTTTCAGCGTGTACCTCATAGCATACTTGGTATGCATGAAATGTTAAGTCATATCAATAGTCCACTTAGTACCATTCTCCTACTAAAAGATCCTAAAGGTTTTGTAGACTATAAGTATCAACATCTGTCCCTCAACCCCATCTCAGTGGTGATAGATAACAACCTCATTTTTAAAATCGAAATATTACATAAGGGAGTAATAACTAAATTATTCTGAAACTTCATAATATTTTAGGTGGAATGTGCTTATTCCAATTGCAACATGTACAACTATAAATATAGCATGATATTCCATGATTTATATTAGGATCTTTAGCAAAATGTTAGGGACTTAGTTTGATATCATAGTTTAAAGGATAGAATATGAAGGCATCTGACAATATGCTTATGAATTAAATAGTATCTCAAGACCATATCATCTATACATAATGTAAAACACACATAAGATAAAAAGCATTTATTTTCACTAAAATATTTACATATACACAATACATTTGTGTATAAATACACATGTGTTTTAAGTTAGTTGTGATCTCAATGAGGTGGATCTCAAAGAAACGAAATAATGTTTACCTTCATCCTGGTTTATAGTCACAACCACAGTATATTGAAGCCCTTTTTGGTACCTGTTTAATGCTTATTGGATAGGCTTGAAGATAACCCTTAAGCAACTCTTTTCATTGTCAAAACAGCTAAGGTGAAGATCCAGAGCAAAAGAGAACCTGTGTAACTTGTATGACTATGTGAATGCATAGCCCTAGTCTTCAAATATAACATTCTCTGTTAGCATAACTGGCTGCTAAATGAAAATGTCTAGGAAAATAACTAATGAAGTCATTTTTTTTTTATTTGCCAAAATCGAGAATACTTTTTATCTCCTTCAGGTGGTAAGGTATTTAATACTAATCCAGTGATTTTGATAACACATTGTTAGTTCTTTATTTTCTTGATGGAATATTCCTCTCACTTCTTTTTGTAATGTAAAAGATTAGCAACTCATCACAATTACCTCCTGTGGGTGTTGCGGTTGCTGTTCACATGCCCTCTTCCTGTGCATCCTGGGGTGGGACACTTGAGCACGTTTTCGTGCATGGCAAGAACTAAGCACAAAATATCACATAAAAAGAAAAAACAATATACCATAAATACATAACACACTAATACACTGATTTCTCAACTTTACATTCAAATGAATTTAGTTAGATAATCCACCATGCTCCATCCCCATAGATATTCAGGTTAAAATAAATGAACATGTAAGAAATTCAAAAATTAATTCAGCAAGCTTGTTTAAGTTTTAGTTTTTCTAAACTTCATGTTATGGTTAACACTAGACTTAATGAGAATATTCTACTTGTATTTAACTTAAACTGAAAAGCTCATAGCTCTACTTTTACATTTATGTGCTTTTTCTTGGAGTGACTCAAAACCATTATTTGTCAAGTAGTAGTTCTTTCTATCTTTTCCCAATAGTGTGAAGTTCTGAATATAGTCTTTTTTATTTCCTAAAAGATACTATTTTGATTCTTTGTCCTTCTTCCCTACTCCCCACCCCCACTGCCGTTCAATTACTGGTGAAAGAGCATGGATGAGTGAACAATCTGATCAATAGTTTGGGGCACCGCTAATTCAGTGGGACAGTGCTGAGCTGGTTAGATTCAGTGCTTTAAAAAAACAGTGCTTTTGAGAAGGGTGATATCAAGGCATTCTTTCATTGTGGTTTGTATGACCCAAGAGGTGTTTCACAAACAGGTTCAAAAAGTAGAGGACTTATCACAGATACTTCAAAACTTAGGAGGCAGCCCTTTCTTTTTCCTTCAGTTTCCTAGCTCACAGTGGGGCTGTGGGTGAGGAGACCAACTCACATTTGCTCTTGCTCAGGGCCCATAGCTGTAGGATGTCCTGGGGCAACATACCTGATATCACTGTCCCTAAGTGCAGAATGGCCTGGGAGGACATTGGTGATGTGATGCACTTCCCATATTAGATGATGCACTTAGGCTAACACTGCTTGTGGGCTTAAGGAAGCATGCCTCCAAGTGAGAAAGGACTGTGCAGTCACAGTGTATTAGCCATGTCTTTTATTTTCTGTGTGCTGATGCTTTGGCGTCTGGAGCCTTGCTAACCATGGACAGACTGCCCCTCCCAGAACTACCTAATTCCTAGAGGTAGTAAACACTTTTCAAATGCAAACCAACCAGTTCTGAGCCCTCACCCAACTACCTCCTTCATGGGCTCTCACACATCATAAAATGCTCTACCTGCCCTAATTGTCCAGGGTCAGGAACCAGAAAACTACAGACAGCCCTCAAATCCCAGAGCCCACTGAAAGAATTCAAGCTAGCTGATCTTAAGCCTGCTTACTCTGCTCTTTCTCATGGAAGCCACAGTAAAGGCTCTTGTTCACAATCCCCCCCCACCCCCATGACTGACCGGTGATGTCCCATGTGACCCTGCCTGGTGTGGCCTGTCCCCTCCTCTTGGACCTGTGAGTAACAAATTATCTTCTCAATGTCAGTCATCTCCTGATCTATTGGCCTGACTGTATCTCATGTTTTCTATTAGTATACGATATTTTAAACCAGGCTAGACGAACTTTATGTTTCCATCCTTACTTCCAAATCAGATAAGAAAATAACATTGTGATGCTGTGGCATTTATAACAAAACACCTGCTTCTTTCAGGGCTAAGCAGTACTCACTTTCCAAGGGAACCCGCACCTTGTGGGGGCACCCTGAAAGGCTGCGGTGGTGGGGGTAGAGTCCTGTCACATGTCCCGTGCCGTCACACCCAGGGATGGGGCACTTGGTCTCCCTCTTTTCAGGCCTTGGTGAATCTACAGAGAAATTAAATTGAGAGATTCATTTGGTTATTCTTCTTTCCCTTCCCTTTCAATAGAGTGGCCTTGCAGGGTGACATTCTCACTTCATTCAGTTTTATCGTCATACACATTCTTCTCACATTGCCTTGAATAAGACCCTCAACTAAGACCTGTGGAAACATAAAAAAAATGTTTTCAATTTTCTCGGTTTCCTAAGCAAAGGCTTGACACGGGGCAAGGGAGTGTTAAAACACAGAGATGGTTTTAAGTTGTCATATTGCAGAATATAGTTGGAGCCTCATTATGAAAAATCAATTCTTCATGATAGGATGCACGCGTTCCTGAAAAGAAAAAAAAAAGTGGGAAAGAAGAAAAAAAAAAAAAAAACTTTTTAACCTAAACTATTGAAGAAGTCTGGTAAAAGCCAAGTCACAATTACAAAACAAAGAAGCCACCATATCTGAGAAATACCTCTCTGACCTTGTCACTGTGGGTCCCCAAAAGCATGTGGCCCTAGGGTTCAGGTCTCAGGGGCTGCTCCTGGACATGTGTGGGACCTGCTCTGATGAGAGTTAGGACAGGGAGTCAAGAATCCCATCTCGTGCCATGCCCAACCCATCAGCAGGGCTTAAGGGGCCCAAAGTTCCAAAATGCCAATGGGTTGCCATTTTGGATCAGTATGCAGTGACTAGGGAGAAGCTGCTGATTTTACTCTGCAGAAACTAAAAACAGAAGCAATAGGAAGATTTGACAAGGAAACACTCTCGCAGGAGACTTAGAGGGGAAGTACAGAGAGTGGAGTCCACCTCGAGTGGTCTGGAGAGTGGAGCGCCGCCAAAGACCCGAGGTTAGGGTGGGGGCCACAGGTGGGAGCTAGGGACACCTGGTAACGCCTTTGCGGCATAGGATGGCAGCCTAGAGGGAAGGGCTGAAAACAAGCTCGGGTTTTAATTTGCTGAGGGTTTATAAATAAATAAATATATTTATTTTATATATTTATATAAGGCTTATATAAATATATAAAATAAACATGGACTAACATGAATACTATGGAGGTTAGAGCTAACACAGAAGAGGCCTTCCTTAGAAAATTTCATACCCGTGCTTGAGATGGTAGATGAACTGAAAACAGAAATGCATTCTTATAGCTAAAAACTGCCCCTCCTCACTCATGCATAGAATGATAATACCAGTCATTGGGACAAGCCTGCCACTCAGCATCCCCAGCATTTAGAGGAACCGGAAGCAGAACTGGCATGGGGGCATCAGGGAAAGGACCAGTGTGGAACGCAGGCAGCTGCAGGCTTCTCAGAATGTGAAGTATCAAGAAGCATGAATACACTTGATGCTGAGAGTGAAAATAAATAATCTGTGTGATCCTGCCGCCAGAAAGCTGCTGACAATGGAATCCCGGGCAGAGTCCTGCCCGGAGGATGCAGAGGGCACATATGCTCCTGCTCCAAGCGTGGCACCGAGAGCAGGGCAATGCCGCAGGATGCAGCAGCCGTCTCCAGGGCCGAATATTGCGATGAACAGGCGTGTCTCTGTGCAATAGCATGCCACTCCAGTTGTTGGATCATAAACGGTCCTAGGCAGATGGGCACAGCAGGTTGTATGTAATGCAATTATATAAAGGCATGGCTTCAGCAAAAGGGGAGGGGCCAAGGATCCTTCAAGTTATCTATGGAGCACAGGGGGTTGGGGATAGTGACGGGGTGGAGAGCAGAGAGGAAAGAAAGCTCTAAGTTGTGAGAAAGGAACAGCCAAGACAGGGATGCCTTGAGTAGCAGGCATTTTTGTTTAATGAGAGACAGGATTTAAATGCCATGATGTCAAGAATGTACTCTGTATTCTGTAAGAGACAAAGGGACATGTTAAAACTTTTGACATGGTCTATGATTTTATCTATATATTTTTTTGTTTAATCCAACAATGTTGTCAAATTTCAAGTTGATTTGGGATGTAATACGTGTAGACCATTAGTCAAAATCTTTGAAGTTTGCTGATAGTGAAATATGAGAATTCGAAAAAAGGAGAAGCAATGTGTATTTTGGTGCCTTTCCTCTCTTGGATCTCATCCAGGTGAGGCCACATTTCTAAAACACATTGAAAGGTTTGGACTCGAGTGTTTCCTCTCCTTGCCACAGTATTTGTCTACAGGAAGCCAGAGAAGGTGTGAGAGATAAGGCAGGACTGGCACCTGACCAGGTGTGGTCCACTGACAGTTCATCATGCACCTTTGTCTGCAAGCCTCTCCTCTGTGGGTGAAACAAAAATTCTGATTAAATGCTCTGTAGGGCAGAACCTGTTTGCACGATAAGAAGCCAGAGCTCCCTTGACTTTGAGGCCTGGCTCCTCCTCTTTGATTTTCTTTGTAGAATGCTGCATAATGAAGGTGACCTTATACCCTGGTGACTTTATATCCTGGTTTGTCTGGGACTGTCCTATTTATGCCTGATACACTTGTGCAACTGTTCATATCATTCCCCTGTACTCCAAGTGTCCTAGGCTGTACAATAAATCATATGGTGACTCTACTTATATTGTGACCTAAAGTCTCACTAAATGCTTAGTAGTAACAGGATAGCCAAACTGTTTTTAGAGTTGCTGACTTATCAGAAGTCTTGACTAAAACAATATTTTAAAATTCTAGTGTTCTCTCCTTAACAGTAGAGTCACATGCCAAGGTGTATGGAAAATCAGGATGGTATTTTGGAGAGCATTGCTATCATTTGGGACAAGTGTTAACTTATAAGCATGGAATGCATGACAGAAAAAAAGCACCTCTTTTGCCACTGGCTCCCACATCTGGAACAAGGAACAGGACAGTGAATGCTTAATTTGGACTCTGCAGGCATCCTCTAGGCTAAGCTTATAACTTCTACTTTTAAAAATATTTATTTATTTATTGCATCTTTTTATACTAGTCTGGTCTGGATCTCCTTGCACAGGCTTTTAACACCCCAAGGGAGGACTACTGATTCATGCAGCCTCATTAGTAATTTAATAAGTCTCTAACATGAAGTATCTACAAGCTCAGATTCTATTGCCTTGTTAACTTTGAAATCAAAAGTTTTAAAAGTTCTACAAAAATGACTAAAAGATTGTCAAGTATTTTAAGCTATAGAACAAATAATTAAACTTTCTCCAAATACTGGGTTTCACTGGCAGGAAGATATCATCAATAATAAGATGAAACATCATTTTGTGTGCTAGTAAGAAGAAAAATCTATTGAAAATTAAATTATGCCCCTTCTGATTTCAGAGATGTTGAAATGGGAAAATATGTATCTTAGAATGAATGAAACCAAGTATTTTGGAAATTATGAGTTGGGAGAATTTGAAGTAAATTTAATCTTCTTTTCTGATTTTGTAGTTTGTTAAAACACACACACACACACACACACACACACACACACACAGGTAAATTCAACCGTTGTATATTAGTGTGCACAGAGCTACATACAGTGTTGATATTCTGTCTCTATCCCAACCTTGACAGTATGTGTACATAGCATTACCTTATTCCTCACTACATGACATTATTTTATTTTTCGTTTTCTAAGCTCTGAGCTGCAAGACAATTATTTGACGAGATTGCAGGTGAGTAATAAAATATACTTAAAATGACAAAATATATCATTCATTTCTACATAAATACCACCAATCAGAACATTTAAACCATGCTAACACATTCTCCTTATAAGCACTTTGGGGCCATAACCTTAATTTTCTCTAAGATACTCCCCTAATTCTGTGGTTCTCAGACTTTAGGGTATCCAAGAGTCACCTGAGAAACTTGCTTAAAAAATAGTCAAGTTCTGGAGCAGTGAGCCCAATAGAATCCTGGAAATAATCACCTTAAACAAGCCTTCTAGACACTTAAGCACCAACACTCGAGAAACCGCATTTAACCTTAGAAATCATCACCAGACCCACCAGGTGCAAGGTTTGGGAGGGCTGAGGAGATTATCTTTATGAGAGAGGGGATACAATTTTCCTAAAGTCTGAGGAAAATTTTAAGGTCTCCTCCAAGCACATTTACTCTGTCATTCATGTTTAGCCCAGATATTTGTGGGGCCTGGGTAAAAAGCATGGGCTTATAAAAGCATTAACATCCAGTTTTATCCTAAGAAGGATCAGATCATCCTGCTTGACTTGCAAGTAGTTTGACATTATTTTGAAGCTCATAGGCAGTCAGATGATCCCAGAAAGAGGATGAGAAAGGAAAAATAAATTTCTGGAATTGATTTAATTAATACAATGATATAAAATTCTATAAGTACTAGTGTACTTCTAACATGTCCAATAAAGTACTTCTTAAAAAATACTATATATTTTTAAAAAGCAGTCAAGTTAAAGGAAATCGAGGAAATAATCCTTTTATCATGTGTGAAAATACTGCAAAACTGTAAGCTCGATCTGAGAACAATCTGGAGAGTAGGAAAAATTAGAGATTGTTTATTTTATAATATAAGTTGATTTTTAAATTGTGTTAAGTTGTCAAAAAGCTATCTGAAAGAAGTTATTAAATCTTACTAATTTTTTCCTAACTTTTAAGAAATTTTATTTCTAAAATAAATGCAAAAACATGTCTTACGTTTATTGTTAAAGATTTGTCTTCCACTCATGTCAATAACTTTGGTTTGCCTCCTTTCCCCTGCTAAGTGCTCCAGTAGAAACCTGTCCAACTCCTTGTAGTTGTTATGAAAAACACAACCTCGTTCAGCCTGCAGAGCAATTGCCTGCTCCAGCAAACTTAAGTTCCCCTTGGCTTTCTCCAGGTCAACAGACTCTTCTGTCATTGCTGCCAAGCACTGGTTATCATCTTCCTCAATCTCAGAGAATGAGGGCTGGGTTTTGCCATCCAGTGGTTCTATGTGAGCATTCTGTGGGTCTCTCCTTTCTGGTTCAGAATCACATTTGTTTTCACAAGGGATAAATTTGTCATCCTCAGTTTTTATTTCGGGAACTTCTAATAGGTCTTTTCTACTATCCACTAAAATATACTTTGCAACTCTATGTGGTTTGGTTTCTTCTGAGAAGTTGGAGCCACTGTCCCAACCATTCTCTGCACTTTCAGAGTTACTTTCATTGTCATCGGAGGAGCAAAACCTTAGCTGGGAGTCATTGATTTTGTCTTTTCCATCATCAGAATGAATCATAAAGCATTCATCTACATCATCACTCTCTGCTTTTAGAGACTGGATGCCACTGTCATTTAAGTTTTCATTTATGGTCTGAAGAGATGCATTTTTTTCAAATTTCCCCAAGTTCATTAAAGATTTGACCACAAGTTCTTGGTAACAGCCATATCTGTCTTCCTTCCCATTGGAGTTTTCTTGTGCAGTTGAATGAAGAGTCTCATCAATAGGTTTCATCATGATTTCTTCTATGGAAAGAGAAAACCAATATTTGAAAAACAAGAAGAAATTTATTTAAGTTTATTTATAATTTAAAATTATTTTAAGAAATATTTTCAAAAATATTTTAAGGAAATGTATGTGACATATGTGAATATGTAGGCTCTATCCATTTTAAAAACATTTGGGGAGAAAAATATAGATCCTCTTAAACAAAACAAAACAAAACAAAAAACTTAGATCTCAATATTCTCAGAATTACCTTTAAGGATATGAGCTACTGGAATTTTTAGTAGATAAAGAACTTAGAATTTTTAGGGTACTGAAGTACATAAATAACAGTAACAGAGTGCTGAATGTTAAAATTATTGTTACTGTACCTCTTATATTTGTAAATCTTAGCCACCCAGAAGGAAATAAAATATACATGATACTATACATTATAAAGGAAATATTCATCAGATTTTTGTTAATGTGGCAATATATTTTCAAAATTTATTTGGTTTATGTTCTCTACCTTCACAGTTTCTCAAATATATTTTCAGATTTTATGGAATGTTAGCTAGAATACAAAATACATTTACATAGAAAAAGTTCTAAAGCTTTTAGCACTTACTGAACACTTTCATAATTGTCACACAAGAATTCCAAGCCAAGAGAAATACAAGAAAATGGGAAAATTAACATGATCAAATAATGTCTTAAATAGTAACATATTTTCTAGTTTAGTAATTGTGTGCATTTGTGTTAAAAGGAATGAGACAAGAGATGGGGATGGTTGGAGGATGTTGAATGTTAACTAGTTCTCGGTACAGGGCCAATTGGAATCTTGACAGTCAAGAAGCCCTATGACTGAGAACAGGCTCCCAAGTGCCAGTCTGCCTAGGACAGTCCACTAGATCTCCATTGTCCCAGTGCAGTTGTTATTGTCACCCTCTTTCATTCTCGGTAGTGGCTCAGTTGGGGTGACAAGATTCTTCCAGTGGAAACACACCAAAAAAGCATGTAAATTCTCTGGTGATCTAACTCTGGCATAGCATGAAGTGTAGTCTGGGGAGCATGGCACCCTGCACCACACATCAGGCTGAGAAATGCACAAGGCAACCCAGCAATGCTTCCCTTAGTGAATACTAAGACAAAATTAATAATAAATAAAAAGGAAGCAGGATCATTTCTGTGTCTCAAAAGGGAGGGTGGGGGATGAGAAACACTAAATAATAAGCCCCTTAAAGACTGTAAAGATGCCAAGTGAAGTGCATTCCATGTTAATAAACATCTTTGGAAGGAAGAAAAGCACAGCTATCCCATATGAGGGCTGCAGGAGAGGGTGTCTGTACAGAAGACAATGTGCCTTTTTTTGTCTCATTTAATTTTTTATAAACATTGTCTCTGACAAGGACACTCAAAAATACATCTCCATCATCTTCCTTTCTGGTAATTATCTCCCTAAATCAACACTGGACTGCCAGGATCAAGTAAATATTGCCATAGTAACTAAAAGCATTTTTGGATGAAGGGAAGAATTTAGTCACAACACCAGACCCTTTAAATAACACTGATTATAGGGTGCAGTCTTTTGTTGGGATCTATTCAACATAAACTGAAAAATTTAACATTTTACTTCCTAGAAAAGAGGCTGGATAAACAAGCACATAATATTTCATAGGATGGTTTATCCTCCCCTGAATTCATATCAGAGGAACTCCAGGTTTAAATAATATATTAAACATAGTCTAAAATGCAAATGAAGTTTTTCTCAATATCACGGTTGGCGATTAAGAGAAGTGTAAAGGGTTATGATAATTTTAAAGTATTATGAACTACAGAAAACAAATAAAAAGCATTTTCAGTGAATATGCTCAATTCATTGAACTATTCTCTCACTCCACTTAACTACCCACATGTGTACAATAATGATTTATAGACATTATACCTAATTATGCATATTTGGGCTGTGTTAGAGTGCTAACAAAAGCTCTAGAAAGCAACAATTACCTCTGTTGCTAAGCTACATAGTTTAAAATATTCCTATTAAGTGCAGATCACCAGAGAGGCGGGAGTGACAAAAATGCACATGTGCACGACAATGCATTTCACTGTGCTGCTGCCAACTGCTAGCATTTTGGGTCATTTCCAGTTTACATAATTGTTTGGTTCAACTGTTTGTTATATGCTAAAAGAAAATATTTATTAATTATTCTTCAGAAAAAGAGGAGTCCTGCCGATAGAGGAGCCTATGTGCAACGCACATGATGGTTTCCAGGAATGGTCTGCAAACTTGCAAACCAACTTTCCTTGGACCCACCTCTCCCTGGCTTTCACTGTAATTATAAGATAAAAAACAAAGTTGAGTGAGCTTTTGAACCTCACAATCTATGACAAGGCATTTGTTTCTCCTAGCTTTGTAATGGGCTGTCTACTTTTCTCTATGCTAGTGTGTTTTTATTTTCCCAGGTGGCCTAGACTTATTTTGTGTTTTTTGCCACTGAAATAACTAAATGATCACAGCCTTCAGAGGGACCTAAGTTTGATTCTAGTCTTGGTTCTCGTCTCTGCGTGAACTCTGACAGGTCCCTAAACCTTTCTGATCTTGGCCTCCTCATCCGCACAATAAGGCACATTGTAGAGGTCATACGGGAGCTCATGGAGGGCAGGTGACATATAAAAGGTTTTCAGTAAATGATGGCTCTCTGTTTCCCCCCGCCCCAGATTCTATTTTAGAAGATAGTAATGGGAAAAGGTACATGAGACCCTCCATGTAAATGAGGTGGGGCCTGTTTTTCATTTAGAATAACTAGTGAAAATAAGCCCTATGAAAGAATACAGTCCACAGTGCCAAGAAGGCTCAGCCTGGATGACCGCCCATGCCACACATGCTATGGCAAAGCTCACCAACTGCCCTGGGAAACTGGAGGGTCGATCCACAATGCACAACGTGGAGAGAAATCTCTTTGGCTAAAAATCCCCTGGAAAATCACAACACATTTTCGGTTTGACTCCTTTAGTATAACTAGATTTTATTATAATTAGATTTTTATTCCATTTCTGTAACTGTCTAAGTAACTTTCATAGGTAAGCTAGTTTTCCAGGTCTCTTTAATATGTAAATGTTGCTGGGAAGAAAAGCCTTAGGGAAGTAAATTTGTCTTTCAAAGTTCTAAAATTGGAATGGCTTTTTTCTTATTTGCTATCTGTTGAGAGATAGTATGTGTTAAAAATATCATCTCAGCCCCTTGCACTCCTGTAACTGACAGATTTCCCTCAATCATGAGCTTCTGGTTACAAAATAGGGACTCCACACTGGGTTAATTTCATTTCAAGGTGACCTTTCTTTTCCTTGTCTGCGTTGGGAAAGCATACACTTGTCTTGCTGCCTGGTAGTATTTTGCAAGCTTGGCTTCTCTTTGCCCCAGTGAAGAGGAGTATCTGCTTGGTTTTGTTCATCGCCCTTAATGCATATCTGCAGCTCTTTGAAAGACAGCCAGTTGAGGGTACAAGGTGTAGTTTTGCCATTAAATCAATACAAGCTCATGATCTTAGCATTGATGAGCATTATACCCTCTCTGTCATCTGAACAGCCTGCTGAAGACACGATTGGGCACATACCTGGCCAGGTAAAGACATTGGGGTACTCACAGTAAATGAGATGGGAGACAAAAAGCCCTAACACTGGATTTGGGCATTAACTTAGCTCTCTTTCCTTTCAGAGAGTGAGGGTAATTTGCTCAAAAGACTGGAAACAACTTAAAGTTTTGTTCTTTTAACCAGAGATAGAAGTATTTGTGAACTGTCATTTCTGGAAATGTGACTTTGTGATATAACGTTGTAGAAACTTTGCTCAGTCTGCTTTCTGAAAGTAGTCAGAACTCAGGGAGAATTAGATTATGGAGCACGGTTAGCTGGGAAATAATTATCTTTCTTGTCCTTTAATTGTTTCTTAATTACATTCTTTTCAACAGTTACAAGCTGCATTTCCTTAAGCATTAAATCTCTTTGGTCCTCAATGATTTAATCTGCGAAATTGTGACCACAATCATGTCTATCTCATGTCATTGTTGAGTGGATTAAGTGATATAATTTATCATTTTATATATTAAGAATTTAAAAATAATGGCCACTACTGCTATAATTTCAACATATTCATTATTAGTAGTAGTGGTTCTTGTTCTAAAAATAATTAACATTTGAGAACCCAAAAATAGATGTCCACTAGTACTTATAATTGAAAGTTTAACTGAGCACATTTTAACAATATATTTTCTTGGTTAATATAAGCATCTATATGATCACATGACTGCAATAGAAGGCAGGAAGTCAGTTGGAAGTTACAATCCTTGAACTCACGGCACTTGCAAGAATGAATTGGTATAAAAGATACCCATTTTCTTAAATATTTGGCAAATTAATCTTAGCAAGATGAATTATATCTCAAGTCTAACCACACTGATTTAAGAACTTTCTAGATTCAATCTGCAGTTTTCATGAATCAACAAAAAAAATCCAATTCAAGAAAACAAAAAAGTCATAAAATTTAAACACTGTCAAATCAGAATACAACTTTGTTTTAACTACAGAATTTCAAACTACTTGAAAGCCAAGATTAGTGGAGATCTGATGATTCCGATCTTAGATTTGTGCTTACTTAGTCGATATGCTTTTGCATCTTTTCTATTAATACCTATTGTTATTATTATAATTCTGTGAACAATAGATATTTGTAATTTAAAAATTCTTTTGCCTTTGGTTTGTATAATGCATACTTCTTTTCAAATAATTTATTTAGTATACTTTGATTCCTTATAAAGTCACATTCAGAATAAAAACATGTATTTGGTCTATGGCCATGCTACTCTGAACAAGCCCGATCTCATCTGATCTCGGAAGCCAAGCAAGGTCGGGCCTGGTTAGTACTTGGATGGGAGACCACCTAGGAAGACCAGATGCTGTAGACATAAAAAATAAAAAAATAAGAGATCGTAAACTGACAAAGTCCTTGCAATCTGTGAGGTCAACTAAGGGTTGCCTCACCTAAAAAGAAAAAAAAAAAGAAAGAAAAAAAAAGAAAAAACTTGTATTTAATAGAACATAGATCATATGTGTACCTAATTTCATTTTCTATTGTCAGGTTTCCGTTTATTTATTTATTTCATAGATTTTTTTGAGATATTTTGCATGTCCTTCAATTTCTACCTTATGGTCAATGTAGTCAGTGCTATTCCAACTCCTGGAGGCACCGTGACTACCCGGGACTACAGTAATGACCATGAACTGGGGAGAAACACATCTTAAAATTTTTAAATAGTAAATACATATCACTTAGCATGTAAATAGCATCTGATGAGTGAGTGAAGAATTGAATTCATGAAACATAATGGGTGCTTATAGATTAAAATTATTTATTTTAGAAATAATGAGCACAGTGATAAATTTTCTATATTGTATCATTCTCCTCCTAAAGAAGACTCTAGATTGTCAACTTCAGTTCTCTTCTGCAGTCCATTGTTAAAATATTTATTTTAAAAATGTTGAAAATATTATAGTCACAGTCCACCAGCATTGGTCCACATTGTTATCACCAGTTACATTTTGGGAAGCTAAATAATATATATGTTTATAAAACAAAAATAAATGTTTTGTTCATATATGTCATATCATAAATATTTTAAAGTTTAAATTTTCCTTTTATTTTGAAGTGTTCTTTCAGACATTAAACATCTACCCTACCAGGGAGTGAAGGTACTCTTCAAAATTAAGGCTTAGTATCTTTAAATTTCTTCAAAAAGAGGCACGGTCTGATCCTGTGTTTTGAAAATGGACTTAGGGCAAGGACCTTCTGGTACTCATCTTTAGACATTCTACAGTTATTGATTGAAAAAAAAAATTGGCCCTCAATAAATGGATGCTAATGAAATAAATGTTTGATTTTGCTTCCAAATTAGAATATGCTTTGACAACCACAAAGACCGTATATTCTACATAAGTTAAGACTGAGTTTTGGTGCCAGGGAGTAGGTAACATTTGGGGTGCTTCTCCTTGCTACCTGTGGTAGGGTGATTGCCGGTTTCCAGGATACCACCATCCTCCTCTGCCTCGACCCTAGCGTCATGTTCTTCATTGCAGCCCGTGTTTGGGCTGTAGTGTCGGGGCTTCATTAACAGGGATTTTCTCTTGTTGACTGGAACACCCAAAGCCTGCTCTTCAGCTCTCCTTTTCTTCACCAGTGAGCAATCATACGCAGCACTGCAGTGATTGAAGCAAATTAAGAATATGATAAAATAAGGTTACTGCTATTTGCCATTTGACACTATGAAGTATAGACCAAAGTCTGTAGAAACTTGGGGATGAAGGTTTAGGGTTTGTTGTTGGAACTAACAAAAAATAAGCCCATTCATTGAAACGATTGTGGATTCTATTTTACTTCCTATCAAAAGAGTTAAAAAAATCATCCTTAATCCTGAGTAAGCATATGTTAATCTGTGCTTTGCTTGGCACTATACTAAATACCCAGGGCAGAATGAAACAAGATTTGCACTGGTTTGCTAATCCTAGGAAAGAGCTAATGTGAAAAATATACACCAGATACAAAAAAAAAGAAAAATGTGTCCAGTATGAATTAATCACAAGGTTTTCAATAGTTATTTTCTTCCCAAACTGCTTATCTCTGCTACAGTTGCCCAACAAACTTGAGATGTCACATTCTGAGATCTGACTTGAAAGAAAGGAGCATAAAGGGAGGGGACAAGTTATGAACATTCATAACAGTCACACACAAAAAAAGTGAAAAGATATAACGTGGCATTCTGCTTTTTCATTCTTACCCATTTGGCACATAGAACAAACACACAAAAGGAGGAGAAATAAGATTGGATTTCACAAAAATGAACAAGAGTTTATCCTTACTCCTGTCCTCATATGATTTTATTTGGAAATGCTTCTGAGGGTGGCCCTTTCAAAATGGATGTCCAACATACAGCTCACTCAGAATTAACGTAGATCACTCTATGTATTGAAGTTAAGACAAACATTGTCTTGGCAAGATCCAAGGAACCAGAGGGTTTAGCTAACAGTGAATCTATGAGAGCTATTTATTAAATGCTCTAGGGAAAAAATGCAAGAGCTTTAGATGAAAAGGTTCAGAAGAGAGGATCCTAGACTGAGAGTAATAAGATATTCCTTATTCCATCACTAAAAAATGATCAAATATTCAGTAACATTATTAAATAGACACAGGCCTTAATTTGTTCTCTTAGAAACATCAATGCAAAGATGGGGGCCCACTCATGGGAATTATTTGGTTATAGTCATAGGTGAATTCTCGAATTCAGAAGAATAGATTAAAAGACTTCAGAGGAAAAAAAGTGTTATTCCTTCTAGGGAAAATAATGATTTTGGGAGGAGAGATAATTCAAGAAGTTTAGAAATCTCTCAAAAAAAAAAAAAGATTAAAAATTGGAGAATTGAAGGTTATTCTGAGAAAGAGAATAGTAGTTCCTAAATAAACTAATGTGCTTTTGTAAAATTTCTCTGACGAGCCCAGTGTCAAAGTGATCATGCACAGAAGATGGAGCAAAAGAGCATATAATCAGATGACCATAGGAGCAAACACATGCTTGTATAAGAAGACTGCAGCAAATGAAGACTGACATGCTCTGAATCTGCAGGTTTGTCCAGGAAAATAGTCTACGATGTGCAGTTATGCTGTAATTAGGGTGAGCACAGAGAGGCAGAACTATCCCTGTACTGGCCTTCTTTGTCAAGGAGATTGACCTTTGGAAGGAGAGGGGCAAAAGAAACATATCAAAAGGGAATAAGTTTCCTAATTATATGAAAAGAGTTCAAGAAGTTTTCTAAACTACTTTAAAGTCTCCTGAATCAAGTATATTTCCATCAAAGGTGCTCAGAAAATATGCAAGAATACTAAACCATTATCTCATACCAAAAGGATTTATATAAAATGAGGCTCCTGGCAAATGTCATTCAGATATTAAGGCAGGGAAAGAAAGTGTATTCTAAAAGCAATTTAAGCATAACATTTGTATTGAGAAAGAGGCTGAGAAAGTTTATGATGAAAATTAGTCATTGCCAGGAAACACTGATCAATGAGACCCGGGGTGGTGGGGGTAATTAAAAAGAAGGTCACTAATCATTAGAGAAATGCAAATTAAAATCACAATGACATATCACCTCACACCTCTCAGAATGGTTATCATCAATAAATCAAAGAATAGCAAGTGTTGGTGAGGATATGAATTAAAAAGAACTCTCATACACTGTTGGTGGGATTGCAAACTGGTACAGCCACTATGGAAAACAGTTTGGAGGTTTCTCAAAAAATTAAAAATAGATATACCTTTTGACCCAGCAATTGTACTTCTGGATATTTATCCAAAGAAAATTAAAACAATAATTTGTAAAGATCTATGTACCCCAATATTCATGGCAGCACAATTTACAATAGCCAAGATATAGAAGCAACCTAAACGCCCATCAACACACAATTGGATAAAGAAGTTATGGCTCATATATACAATAGAATATTACTCAGCCATTAAAAGCGTGAAATACTACCATTTACAATGACGTGGATGGACCTAGAGGTTATTACGCTGAATGAAATGTCAGAGAAAGATAAATACCATATAATTTCACTTATATGCAGAATCTAAGGAACAAAAAGAACAAACTGATAAAAAACGGACTCACAAAAATAGAAGACAATCTGGTGAAGGCCAGAGGGGAAGGGGGTTGGGGGACCAGGAAAATGGAGTGAAAAGGGGTTAAAGAAGTAAAATTTAAAAAAAAAAAAACTGGCCAGTCAGAAAAATGTCATTTCTTTCTTTGATGGTTGGGGTGATGAATAAGGCTGCACATGTACTACCTGTAAGATCCTTATAAACTTTGTCTTGTTAACCTTATTATCCAAATTTACTTACAAAGACAAATTGCATTCCCCAAATCGCATATCCAGCAATGTGTACTGTTGATATTTGAATCCCAGTCTGCTAGGCCCCAAGGCTCATGTTCTCTTCTACATTTGCCAAATTAGAACAATGATTTTGGGTAATTTCCATAAGCATTTGACAATTGGGTAAAGTAATACCTGGATAAACCAGCCACCTCTCTAACAGGAAGGAAGCTGCCTAACACAGGGCTTTGCCCAATAATTCAGGTGCAGATATATACGACATTCATTAGATCTGGAGATGCTACTGAGTTGCAGCAATGAAAAACATGTTGTAAAATGTGATTAAGACCCCCCCATATATCCATAGTCTAAGCAGTAAAATGAAACTCATGAAATGACATTTAATGATAATAAAAATCAAGTTCAGTACTTGGGTCCAAATAACTGTGCAAGGATAAAGGAAACATATAAGGTTTTACCAAAAGTACAAATTTAGCTTAAAATAAATAATTGTATTTGATACAAATTGTGTACGAAGTTCCCTAAGTAATATTAACTGTGTAATCGGTAACAAATAATTGATCTTTTGGAACACCAAATTCCTTATCCATCAAACAGGAATAATAATTTTTATATCACATGTTGTAGATAAAGAAGATAACCTTTGTGATGGTAAGGACAAAAATAGGTCAAGACAGAGCTGCTCTGACTCCCGGCTCAGTGCTCTTCGGACTCTGTCAGCATCAAGTCGATGTCGCTACTATGCAACATCACAAGTGCTCTCTCTGGTACACTGCACTGATTTATACATGCTTGTATGTCCACGAATGAATTTCCTTTTTTACGTATTACTTATATTTACATAAATTACATTAGATTTATACATAACATTTGCTTTAAATCCCACACTCTGTGCATTTCTCCATTACAAAGTAGCCATAGCCCAGGCAGCATTTGGACCTAAAATAAAAGGCTTTGTAATAAATATTACCCTTTGTGTGTGCATAGAAAATGGTCCCTTTTCCTAGTTTTCCCTGAGGGCACACTATTTTGGCTTTATTGTGACACTTCACTGTGACACTGCAATGAGGGAAAGCCATGCTTTACATGTCAGTGAAAGAAATGCCACAAAATGCTAACATATCTTCTCAAGGTTGCCAGAAATAATTTCCACTGGGTTGTGTTTTCCCATCTGCGGAGCTCTGAAATGTTAAGGAAATAAATGAGCTCTATTATCTATATTTTTCTAGTAGATGAGAAAGAAAGAGAAAAAATACACTCACCACTGCATTTATTGTTCCGTTCAATCAAACTGTTGCTTTAAACATCCAGAGTTCTCCAGGGAACTTTATCAATGCACCAGATACCATATTTCATATCTATGGTTTTGATTTTATTAAAATATCTTTAAAGGATCTGTATTTTTATCCAAGGGAATTTTTTTTGCTTATATATTTGAGAAATGCTTTCATTTACAAACTCAAATCCTAATTTGAAATGGTATTCCCTTTGTTGACAACATATGGCTGAAATTTTATTCAAAAAATGATTGAAGAAAACAATAATTAGATAACATTAGTGATAGACTCAGTGCTGGAAGTATGTTTAGAAGTCAAATTCATTAACCTTTCAGCTTTCAGAAAAGAGTACAACAAATTAGGGAACTGTGAATGCCCAAAATCTGTCCAGTAAGCACTGGGCTCCAGAATACTTTTCCATCTTGTTTTCCACAGTAGTAAATTCTCAGTGCAAGCTACCAGAAGATATGTACCATTAAGAAATGTAGCTTCAGCTGTAGATATATTCTGAGCACACCCTCAAAAGAAAATAACAGAAAGATAAATGGAAGTTATTAATCCTTGAGTCCAAGGAAACTATTTACATGCTCCAATATTTTCATGGAAAATTCATAATGGGTATTCCTACTGGTTTCTTCCAATTAGGCAGAATATCACAGACTTGTAGAAAGACATCAGGAACCATAAATTTGAATTAAGAAGGAAAAAACCAAAAATATAATGTATGAAAAAGAAAAAATTAAACTTAATTTTTTCAGAGACATAACTGTGTTTGAGAAAATCCAAAATAGTCTATAGGTTAAACATTAAAATAAGGAAGTAAATTTAGTGAGGTTGCTGTTAAAAGTTAATCGAGCTTCTCTATACCAGCAATAAAAAATTTTTAAAAATAATTTAAAAAATAAAACCACTTATAATACATAGAAATAAAAAATACTTAGGAATAAATGTGACAAAAGATGTATAAAACATATAAAACAAATAACATTCTGAGAAAATTAAAGACAAATAAATGGAGAAATATAAAATATTTAAGG